AACGGCAGTGTCGGTATCGTTCGCCATCTTGAATACTGAACGCATGCGCCGAAATGTAAGCGGATTACCGCTTGTGTGGTTGTGTTGCCGCGCGGCGAAGATGCGTTTACGACACCGCTTTTACTTGCCGCGCCGCACGTGCGCATCCTTCTTTACACGTTAAATGACAAAAGCGATGATCAAAAGATAGAATGTTGTTTTGGGTTACGATTGTAATCCAAAACAACAATCATCATAAACCATGCGATGCGTTATTCACTAATAAAGACGAAAAGGTCTATTACGTGATGATCATGTGACTGTATGATGTGTTATATAATAATGCATCATATGGTCACGTCAGTTCAAATGAGCTTTGTTGCTAGCGAATGTTTAATTTAAACTATTTTTAACAATTATTTATTGTGACATCGTCATAATGCCGGGCCGCAATTTTTAATTTAAAATGTATGTTCTCCACCTGAAATTGTTAGAGGATTGCACCTGTACACCACACTTTTCCTTTAACAATAGAGTCGTGCCGGTAATATATGTAACACCTCTTTCAAAAAAAAAATTGTTGAATTAATAAGTGATTTTATTGCCATTAATCCTGGTCCTCTTGTTTCGACATTCAGCGTGAAATTAAATCACAAATCACGCGTCAGAAAAAAACAGCAAAATGTCGAGCTTCCGTACAATGGGAGTTCCGTGCACCACACATCTAGCGATTTAATGATGTTACACGACAAGTTCGAGAAGAAAAGTACGAAATGACGTTGAGAATGGAAGGTAGTTTTGTGCAATGCCGCCTAGCGTTTCCAGAGAAATTGAGGAATTTTTTGGGATGACTTTTTGGGCTGCAATTTGAAAAACTTGTAGACCTATAAATTCCCACTGTCGTCTGTCCGTCTTTTCTTAATCTCGAGAAGGGAGATAAAATCCGACACCAGATATGGAACCTTGGGGCTGGAGCCAAGACTAACTACATGTTTGTTTCTTTGTTAAATTATGGCAATGCAACATTTGGGCGATCTGCCTAGGGAGATGCCTTCCGGGAGGTCTTTTTAAGAAAAACTGGTCCTTATTTAGGCGTTACAGACGTGGAAAAATCCGGAAAACTGCACAAGGCCAGCCCGTCCGAGCGAGGCGCAAACCCACGACCGAACTCCCAATGTTCAGGCTACAAAGACCGCTTGACCACTGGTGGGCCTACTAACTACATAAGAACGTCCGATGCAAACCGGAAATCACGTTATTTCAATTCAAAGCTTTTCTCCTGAAATCAGTTTATAGATGACCTGCACGACTCTATTGCTAAAGGAAAAGTGTGATGTGCAGGGGCAAACACTACTAATAATTTGAGGTGGAGAGCATTTATTTTAAATTAAATAAATTTAAAAATTGCAGCCCGGCATTGTGACGATGTCACAATGAATAATCGCTCGTATCACTTTGATCTTTTTTCAGTAGACTAAAACAAAAATTTCGACATGACAGAACCTGTGAAATACACAGGTCTGCAAGTAAAAAACTGCATACGATTTTTATTCATTTTCTTATAGATTTCAACTTGGTAAAAACGAAAAAATACCAAAAAAATTCCATGTCGTCAATTTTTTTTTTGTTACACTCAAGTTTTTGTTTGTAATTAGCGTAAAATTCCTAGTTAACTTAAAATTTAGTATTTTTTATTTATTTGAAAAATGGCCTTAAAACGAAGACTTTTCACATTAATTCTATCAATTATAGCTGGACTTGGTAATAAATAAATAAAAATGTTAATGGTCGAAGAGAGTTGTGATAGGGGGAGGTGAGTTAAGTAGCTTTATCCTTAGGAGGAAGGTTACACGATCATATAGAAACAGGTTAAAAGTTGATAGTGAGTAATAATATTGGCGAGGTTGAGCGTGTTTTGACATGCTATCTGGGCTACTAGGAATAAATATAAATAAACTGCTGTTGGATTAGATCGTGTTTCAACAAGCTAAATAAGTTCAGTATCTCGCTGGCCATCTAATGCCATACTCAGTTTATATCCAGCATTCGAACGCTACTGTACTTGTATTTTTATTTCTGGAATATGGCTCGCAGAGGTAGTGTAATTTCTCCCGACAGCTTCTGTTATGTTTGTGGTGAATACACAGTGAAAAGTCAACATCCCCTTTATCTGATCCCCCTCTTTTTGGAAACAACGGGAGAAACGAAAAAAGAAGCATGGGACTCTTTCAAGAATGTAGTGCAGGTGTGGCCAAACTTTTATCCCTTAAGGGCTACTTTTTTGGTAAAATATAGTCTGCAGGCAACTATGAATATGGGCAAACAATTTTAGGATTTTTATATGCGCATGTGTTAACATTCATTTGCATTGTTCATCGGGATAAATACAAACAGTATGGGTACGTTGCACAGACAATCTATTATTGTAAGAATAAATTATCGAATTAACATTTTTAAACATTAAGTTAAGTGAAAGCAAATTGTTCAACTTTAGCTTCGCGGGCTACTTTCAAAACCTTTGCGGTCGACCGGTCGACCGCGGTCTACGTGTTGGCCATCCCTGATGTAGTGCATAAGTTTTTGGGGAATACTAAGGACCCTGACTACAAAACCATTGTATAACGCATGCTGGCAGCATATGAAACTCAAGGATGCAAGATGGGCTTAAAAGTTCATTTCTTACACTCTCATATTGACTATTTTCCCGAAAACTTGGGAGCCTACAGTGAAGAACAGTATGAAACATTTCACCAGGATGTCCGTGATATCGAGAGACGTTACCAAGGAAAATGGGATATCAATATGTTAGCTGACTACTGTTGGATGTTCAATCGAGAAACCAGAGGAGGAGATCGGAAACGAGTTCGGAGAAGCATCAAAGAGAAGAAGAAAAGCTGTCATAAGAAAAAAGAGTAGACCTAAAATTGTGTATAAATATCAGAAACAATTTTTTGATTAGTTGTAAGAAAATATAATATATTTAGTTCATTGTAATAAATAAGAGTTTTTATCAAATACTGTATTTGTTTTTATTTTGCAAATAATTGATACGTGATGGGATATTATGGAAGTCATTTTTAGAATCTCCGATCTTTAAACATTGTGATCAAATGTGTTATTCAGAATTAGTCATTAAATAATTATTCAAAAATGATTCCTATTGCTAGCAAGGGGAAGGCCAGACGTTCGGGTCTCCGATTCAGACGGAACTTGATGAGCACGTAGTCCTAAACACAAACAACTCGTCGTCCAAATAATAGGACCCACTTCTCAAGCGTTTAAAAAAATGGGGTTCCGAAAATTTAGTGTTTAGCTTGTAAGTCTTTGGAAGTTTCAAGTCTTCAGGTAGTTGAGCGAATAAGACGTCTAAACTTTGGAGCTAGATGACGTAGGTTCGAACGTTCGGCGTTTTGGATTAGTTAATTTTATGTGTAACTTTATTTTAACGCATTATTATTAATACAATAGCCCTTCGTTATAACGCGAATTCGGATATATCACGCTTTTTTTGTCCCCAAATTTTAAAAACACTTGAATCGATAAATTTTAAAGTAATTGCCATTGAATTTCTTTTTGCAACGAAATACGGTATTTTATTCGTACCATTGTCCTTGAAACCACCACTGCAGGTGAAAGAATAAATTCGTCAAGATCTAAAAAAGCAAAACAGGTGGACTGATCAATTATCATTTGTTTCCTTTTGATATTAAACGTTGTTTATTTATTGGTTTTAAGTACTGTCTCCTAATTTATCAGTTCCTGTGAATTCCAAATTTTACACCTTTATGTGAATTGACAGTATTGCGTCAATTCACATAAATGTGCGAAATTTGGAATTCGCGGCTTAATGTGTAAGGAAGTTTTAAAATTTTTATATAGTAGCAACTTTATTTTGCATTTTAGAGAATTTTTACTCTTTGTAATTTTATAAGCTTTGATGTTCTATTATATATACAATATGTAATTTTTAAATTCTCAATTACTGCATTTATAATTTTTATTGAAAAATATAAATTACACGAATTTTTAATAAGCGATTTATTGTGAAATATAGTACTGTATAAGAAAATCTCAACTGATATTTTATTTTTATATCGACAGTATTTGTCTTTAAATGTCATTGTTAAAGAAACAATAATGCTAAATGGGAGTTCACGGAACATCATTTAATACGATACAACCAGAAAAAAATTCAGTATTGCAAAACTAAGCTTATTTTATATCAGAAACACTTGCTGATGAAAGAACAGAGGATAGAGATTTCATAGCATGATAATCTGTTTAGTAAAAGTCTAGAATTTTTAATACTCTGTTATATCGTGCTTTTTCTTTCTCTCCCGACAAGCGTGATGTAACCAGGAGCTACGGTATTATTATTCCTCACGTTTAAACCTTATAAAACAAGAAATTAAAAATTGTGACGTCATTTCCTGTTTAGCGAAAACAAGCCTCTGTAGATTTATCACTCAGCTATAGTCACTCTTGAATATGAAACTTTCAAATACTTATAAGCTAAACACTGAATTTTTAGACGCCCAATTTATGGAAAGTGGGTTCTATTACAAGGAGTTGTTAGTGTTTAAGGCTGCGTGCTCACTAAGTTTCGTTCGAATTGGAAACCCGAACGTCTGGACCTCTCCTTGTAAAAGACTGTTTAACATGTTACTTTTGCTTTCAAGACGACAAACTGATAAGGCTGATAAGGCTACCAGCACCTGCATTAATTAGTAAGTAAAACTGGTGGCGATATTTTAAAATTTTTCTGCTTATATTTTCAGATGAACTTTTGTTATAATGTACTCTAAAAATAAGTTTAAATTTCATATAAACTAACAGATTAAATGAATAGTTTCTATTTTCGACATTTTTATTTTCAATATCTCTTTACTGTTCAATGAAAGGAATCAATCAGCAATACGAAAGTATTTTCTTGAAATGATTATTTTATCTTGGCATTCCATTAATATAATAATAATAATATAATATAATAAAATTTTCAAGAATTAAATTAGCCTACTAACGTAACGAATATGTTCTTGAAGTCCCGTAATTCCAAAACTTCGAATAACAAACCATAATTTTAGCGATCGAAACCTCCTACTGAGAGGAATTTGCCAGTGCTGTAAATGAAATTTACGATGATAAGTAAATCTAATAAATTTCGTTTCATTTAAATGTTAAGCAATTTATTTATTTCAGTTGTCAGAAGAAAATATAAACGAACTTACCATAAAATCAATAGCTAGACCTATTAATTGCAAATTATTATTAATACATAAATAAAGCAAAGATATAAGTGAAAGGTGAGAGCCATTACCTGTGTTTTCGTGATGAAGATAGAGAGGATTCACATTAAATGTTCGGTGGAGGGCACCGCTATTCTTCACCCTGTAGAGATTCATTTTATTGAGTAGATAAGACAATTAAAATGTGATTGTAATTTAATAATCAGGAAATATTTTAACCAACCACATTGCAGTACAATCAAAATGAACCATCATCCATTTTGAAGGATTAAATGCAAACGATTGAACGTATTCAATGCCCTTCATCCATTTTCTGAATTCGGGACAAATAAATGCAGTTCCTGCATAAGCAGCATCTACGTGGATCCAAATATTTTCTTTCTGACCTAAAATCGTCATTAAAAAATTATAATAACCGTTTTATTGTTTGTAATATTAGTACTGTATTCTGTAATATCCATTTAGTCAGATATAGCCTACTTACAGATTGGTCCTAATTCACTTAAATTATCAAAGGAGCAAGCACCAGTCGTGCCCAATGTAGCACAAAGCTATAAAAAGAGTTTTTTTTAATAAAATAAAATATATCGATCTTTGCAATTGCTTTTATTTTTAGTAAGATTTAGTTTTATAATGGTTAATTGTGACATATGTGAAAACTATGGAATTTTCTTTTGTATCAGAACTTCAACTTAAGTAGATGTTATTTTTGATTCGTGAATATTTTCATAGACATCGAGGTAATTTATATCGCATTCTATGGTTAATAACAGATAGTAATTAATTGGAAAAACCATTGTAAATATCTATCTGTAGTATTGTGTATGTATATAGCCTATATATAAGTTTATATATATGGTGGCAATACAACGATATATATAACATCTGCGATGTTTTCGTAGTTATAATTTTAAATAAAGAAATGCTTACATTGATCTTGAAATTATATTGATAAATTAAAGTAATAGTTATTGAACAGGGGCACAAAACTGTCCATTTGTTACTTTTAAGAAAAATATATTATTATTTTCTTTCTAATATTGCCAATGCTAGTTTGCTTGCGTTCAAAATTAATCGAAAAACCTACTTCAAAGTACTGTATTATTATCCTTTAATAAATAAATAAATATATTATCGCTAAAGCTAATAATGAATTTATATTTTCATTAACATACTTTCTGTTTGTTTTATCTGTAAAATTAAAATGCATATTACAGAAAATTTTGAAAGAATGCGAGAAATGAATTTAAAGAAATTGAGTCGTTTTTTTCAATTGTAGTCAATAATAGTAATATTCTGTAATAGTATTCTGTAACTGCTTGCGGGCTACAAAAAATCATTCTATGGGTTTAAAATGATCCGGGAGCTTCAGTTCTCCATCATTGCTCTACATATTACACTGCAATATTACGAAAAGTGTAGCAATCGACAACGAACCAACACCTCCTATAAATGAAGACCTGTATTATGTACGTACTATCAATATATAGCGACGTCAAGAGTTGATCAAGTAGCCCTCATTTTGTTGTTGTTAGTATATTTAGTACATTTTTGTCTTTTCTTTTATTTTTAATATTTCAGAAGATGCCGAGAAAATTATAAAAACGGTCCAATTGTTAGGTGCCATTCGGAAATTTACATCCGGACAAGAACGACGCCACTAATAGTGGTTCAGGGGTTTACTTCATGTAATAATACAAATATTGTAGATATATAAAACTTTTGTTGCTTTAATAAACATATAAAATAAACTAAACTACGCATAAAGTAAACAAACTTGCACGTAAAAGTTGAAAAGTAATGATGAAGTTCGTATTTACAATAAAAAGTCTAATCACTTTCACCATCTCCAAAATCCAGAGGCGGATCTGCATAGGGACTAATAGGGCTTACGCCCTACCCCCAAGTGTCAAAGGCCCACAAAAATTGAATTATTATCATAAATTTTTAATACTTTTTCATTAACAATGAGCACTTATCGTATAGCAAAAAATAGTTAATAGGTTAGGTTTGGTTTGGTAAATATGGTTAAAATGAGGCCCCATTGGACTTCAATAAGCTCTAGACCCGAATCGAGTATCAAAAAACATCTGTTAATTGTCTTTATTTCATTAACCAATTTTCATTTTATTATCTAAGTTGGAAGGGGTTTAAATAAATGTCAAAAATAGAATGCATACTCATTTCCAGCGCCGTAACTAGCCTTTTATGCGCCCGGTGCGAGCTTTTGTAACTACGCCCAAATCTATGACCAAAACTTGGTCCAGGTCATTTCTGCGCCCTGTGACCGGGCACCGCCCTAGTTACGGCACTGCTCACTTTAGTATATTACAGAATAGTTTTATATCTATGATCTATTTTAATCGAATTCAATCGCAATCAATCAATTTTTAAATTAATAAGAATCTAAGCAATTTTGAATGAAAATGAAGAAATTGTTTCATAGTGTTACTATTTTCATTCAAATACAAAACGTTCGTATAGCATATGAAATTGGCCAATATTAAAATCTATCTCTAGTGCAAAGTTCAATAGATATAGAAAATTTGATGGCTAAATGACCAATGCGGTAAAGGCGCCAACCTGCCTACCACTTTGGAAAAGATTGATGCTTTTACGATTCAAGGCACCAATCTTTTCCATAGCGATAAAGATCAATTTAGAAATTTTCGTGGATACGTCAGACCCTCACCATCGAGCTGTCCATTTTGGGCCCGACTGAACTCATGACGGACATGATTAAAATACCCTCTTCGTGAGCATGATTGAAAAACTAAACAACGAAAAACAATAAACATCGGATTCTGTTGAAAAAAAATATTACGAACAGAAAATAATACAGTACCTCTTTCATCTTTTTAAAATAAATTAAATAAATAAATGGTTACTATTATTTTAAATTGAACGATCTTAAACAAATTTTTTGTTCTTAACATCCCTGCAAGTTTCATTTCATCAAGTCATTACAGAATTTACATTCATGCGAATTTCTTTTAGCACGAAAATGTGTTCAGAAAATCCCAACATAATTTTCTAATGGAATTTTCTGAATCTTTAGATAGAAATAATTATGATTTTTAACGCAGCTTATGTATAATATTAAATGTTTCTTACAAAAAATGGAATGAGGCTTTTCTGTTTATCTCTCTCTACGGTTTCTTTTAATTTTTCTCCTCGAAGACTCAAATTTTCATCACTTTCGATGTAATGCATTTTAACCAATCCGATTAATCCTGCCTTTTCGACCGAAGAATGAGCCTTAAAACATACGAATTTATATTTAAATAACTTTAAATACATCTCCAATAAAGAAATTATGATCTTACCTGATCGGAACAATATGCTACGAGTCTACCATTGATTTCTGCTTCGTCCAAATCCGGATAATCTTTTTTAACCCTTTGAATTACTTCCGTTCGAGCCGCAAGCAAAGCTACAAATGTTGCTTCGCTCGCCGAAGTCTATAGGAAGTGGACTTTCTCATAATCTATTAAAATAAGTTACAGTTGGTTATAAACATGACATTACCTGAATGACTCCTCCACCCAAACCATTGGAATGATCGTGAAGAAACGCTTCAGGTAATCCTATCATTTTCCCTAACCAATCCATTACAATAATTTCTAATTCGGTACACGCCGGGCTGGATGCCTGATTGTAAATAATAGTGAAAAATATTTGTTTAAAGAATAAAATAAAACAAAACTTCCGAATGAAACATTATTACCCATGTAAAACCTAAGCATCCAATCGCATTAGATAATATATCACCAAGTAACGAACCGGGACAATTTATAGCAGGAAAATAAGCGTGCATATGAGGACTTTGCCAGTGGGTAACCTACAAAATTTAAATACCATAAACGTGATATTAATATCATGTTTATATTTCGAATTATAGAATGTATAGAATATTCTGTACTAACCCCTGGCATGATCACTCGTTCGATATCGTTGAAAATATCTTCCCATTTTTCGCCTTCGATTGGAGCACTTTCTGGTAATAAAGGCCTCATATATCCCGGTTTAACATCGGGAAAAATGCGTCTTTCGCGTATATTCTCCAGATAATCTGCCGTGTAATCGATTAAGATTTTTCCTGAATGACATCAAAGATAAATTCATAAATCTATCATCGCCAGTTTTGTAAAAATATACATTTTTCATTTTTTGAAATTCGAATTTCAAAGAGACAAACCCCATTTTCTGTAATCTTCCAAATTCATCGGTTATATTTAGTATGTAGCGCCTATAATAAAATATGTAAATTGAGTATTGCTATCGGATAAATTTTTAATCGAAGAATTGTTTATTATGTTAGAGAATCCGGACAAGAACTCATCCAATTAAGCAATTTTTATTCGTCCACGATACATATTACATTTAATATTCTTAATGCAAATTTTAATTTAAGTTTGAAGCATATTTGTTCTAAAATTTTAAGTATAAAATTTATAAAACACTATTTTCTTAGTAAAAAAAATGTATTAATTACTCAGAATAACAGTTTTATGACCGTTAACAACGTTCCTCCAAAAGAAATTGTCTGGCATAATTTATCGCTGGATTTGATGATAAAAACATTTTAAAAGTCATTAAAAGAAGTTCAAAATTCTCTGAAAATTTCCAATTATTTTATAATAAAAACTTAAAATATTTATTAGCAAAATAACCTTCGAAGTTATCAGAAAAAATTGTAAAAATTTCCGATTTTTCATCTAAAGTTAATTTTATTCTAAATCTTCTTACCATCAACTGTAACTCAGAGATAAGTAATTTATTCTAGGATAAAAGAGACTGTTGATCTTACCTTATTTCTGATATGAATGTTTATGCAGTCGATACAAAACTTGCTAGTGGTTCGATCTTGTTTATAAAGAAATATAAGACTCATTGCGTTTGCGCTATTACTATATTCTCTAGAGTGACGCGATGATACCCAACCAATTATCGTTCTAGTGGCAACGTTAGTGAGTTAACTCTTTCTGTCTGATACTCTTATAGGCCATCGACGAGCGGGGATATTGTTTTAGATCGATACTTATGATTTTCGAACTACATTTCCAATTAAAAATCGTAAGAAAAGTCTCCTTAAGATACGCAACGACGATAAAAGTGATACATACATTTAATATTGTCTTTTTAGTTGCGATATTCGTACAATGAGAAACAATGAATGGTTTTCTTATTGACTTTGTACAAGTATCGGTGGAATTNAATCACATTATTAATACATAAATTGTGTGTGGCGCCACCTGTTACGAGATTTTATCATAAAAAATTTTTATATTATTAATTGTCATAAAATGGCAAAACGCTTAATTTTGATGGTAGAGACGAATTTTGCAAAATAATTGTGTATGTTAATAACGAGTAAACTCTTCATTAATTAAGTCTGACCCTACTCGAGATATGATACACAACTACCCTATATCTCCCCACTCCTTGACCTTTAATTTAACAGCCAAAATTTAATATCATCAGTCCCTTATATACAAACCATCATGCCAACTTTCGTTTTTTAATCATTATCCCATCCTGAGGTAGTAAACGAAATAGACGCAAACACTCACACATACATATCCATGACATTTTTTCCTTGAATTTTTACTTTTTCGGATTCAGGTCTCAAAACGTGAGATTTGTAAAAAAAAGAAAAAAAAAAAAGCTCGGAGGGTCAAATTTGACACGATCCCTATACTTTCCCTTTCACGTATACATAATAGTCGGAAAAGTAATTGTCCTTTCCTTCACTTTTCCTTCTTTTCGTCGCTTTTTGCACCCCTTTCCCAAATATCTTACTTTCTTCCTTTTTAATTTTTTTCCCATTCCAATAAAACCTCATTTACTTTTTCCACACAGACACTTCTTCAACTTCGCACTTTTTCCACCATTTTTCCGACGAATAAATCTCTGCATCAAATATTCACCTGACCTTGTTTATGGCATTAGTTCGTACGTATGGCTACGTAAATGTAATGGTTACAATAACCGACTTGATAATTATATAAACACATACATGAACAAAAAGCACAAGAAAGATTTTTTAAAACTATTTATATATTTTATAAATTATAATAATGAAAAAACTGATTACATAAAAGTAAATAAATGAATGAAAAATCATTTTAAATTATTGAAATTTTTTAAAAAAATTATTAAGAATTGCCAAACATTTTAAGGTTTAGAATAAACATCTTTCATCATTTTCAGAATGCTGGAAGATGTTTATTCTGAATGTCTTATTGTTGTGGGAAAAGTACTTTTGACGTATGAAATTGGCAAGGGATATCTCGTTTCAGACGTTAATGATTGCCTTAATGTAGAATGTAATCGTTGTGCGAATGCGAAAACAGTCTAGATATGCTCACAATAAAAATTTTAAAAAATATTTGTATTATATAAATTAAAATAAAACGTATATAATTTTATTTTTAAAATGTTAAAAGTAAATGGTTTTAAATTTAACAAAATTCCTCGCAATACAAGCGAGGAGTTTTGTTAAATTGAACATGATATTTGAACAGAAAACAGAATAATCTTCTCGCAATGTTTTCAAATTGTCAAATGTCTCAACCGATTTATTAATGGTTATCCGATTCGTTGGGAACCACCGGAGGCCTGTTGGTAGAGCGCAGATTCGCGTCTGACCAACAGGCTGGCCGCTTGGAGTTTTCGGGGATTTTCACGTCTTTAACACCTAGATAGAGAATCTCTTTCTTAATTTTTATACCAGTCTACATACTCGGGATTTATTAAGCCTCCAAAAGTCAGAAATGAATAGAAAACTAGCAGTTTTCCGTGTACTAGTGAATAGTGCAATACGGTAAAAAATAGATTATCTGACTCCATTGGTTCTTTTTAGAATATATTTTTATTGACCTAGATAGAGGCTATTTTCCCACTGAAAGTTCTTCTGGAAGACATCCATCTGACATTTTGCCTGTCGCGTTACCTTATCCCGCCTACCCAATCCAATTTCGATAATTGGGCTATTAATAATTATTATAATTTATTATTTTTTCAGTTACTATGAACGATTTTAATTAAAACAATCAAATAACTTGCAGACTTTTTACTGTAATTACAGTAGTCTATTAAATTTTCAATTTTTTTTTCCGAAGAGGAAAGAAAGAAGGTAATGGAAAGATGTTACTAAGAGCATGGTAAATTTCCAACAAAAAAATTATTGAAATTTTTTTAAATCTATGGGTTTAAAAAAAAAAAACAAATATTCATATCTTCATAAACTTTATCAAGTAATTAATAGAGAAGGTTAGGTCTAGTTATTTTTTATTTCTGTTGTATGTAAAGGTAGCCTGTAATAAATGAGTCGAGAAATTATTTCAAGAATAAATACTATAACTCCAATTATTATTATGAATATAGTTTATAGCAATTTTTTTTCTCAAACAAGATGGCCGCGGCTTCCTGTTATGAGATAGTGCGTTCTTTTATTTCTCCGCGTAACTCCGCGTGCGGCATCCGTTAAAACTTCTTGCGAAATGCGTGCCGTCGGACAGCAAAAATGGCCGCTCGTAGTTCAATTTTGCACATTTCCACCGTGGAGGCAGCTATCTTTGTTGTAACGAGAAATGCAACTGATTTAACTTCGAATCAGTGAGACTGCTGCGCGCAGCGCTTCAAGAAAACAGTTTAGCAATGTGCTCTGCTGCATAGCTTAACAGCGCTGCGATATAACATATAACATGTATATACATAATAAACTGCAAACATTCAAACGCAAAAAAATTAACTGTAAAGTGTATGCTAAAGGCAAAATAAATGAAAAATAGAAATACACGGTAATTCTTCATTAATTTTTGACGGACGATCTAAACAAGAATACAAAAAAATCGACTTTCTCGGCTGTTAAAAGATTTAATTTAAAAAATAACTTTTACATTATTAATCACATAGTATGCTAAAGGCAAAATAAATGAAAAATAGAAATACACGGTAATTCTTCATTAATTTTTGACGGACGATCTAAACAAGAATACAAAAAATCGACTTTCTCGGCTGTTAAAAGATTTAATTTAAAAAATAACTTTTACATTATTAATCACATTATTAATACATAAATTGTGTGTGGCGCCACCTGTTACGAGATTTTATCATAAAAAATTTTTATATTATTAATTGTCATAAAATGGCAAAACGCTTAATTTTGATGGTAGAGACGAATTTTGCAAAATAATTGTGTATGTTAATAACGAGTAAACTCTTCATTAATTAAGTCTGACTCTACTCGAGATATGATACACAACTACCCTATATCTCCCCACTCCTTGACCTTTAATTTAACAGCCAAAATTTAATATCATCAGTCCCTTATATACAAACCATCATGCCAACTTTCGTTTTTTAATCATTATCCCATCCTGAGGTAGTAAACGAAGTAGACGCAAATACTCACACATACATATCCACGACATTTTTTCCTTGAATTTTTACTTTTTCGGATTCAGGTCTCAAAACGTGAGATTTGTAAAAAAAAGAAAAAAAAAGCTCGGAGGGTCAAATTTGACACGATCCCTATACTTTCCCTTTCACGTATACATAATAGTCGGAAAAGTAATTGTCCTTTCCTTCACTTTTCCTTCTTTTCGACGCTTTTTGCACCCCTTTCCCAAATATCTTACTTTCTTCCTTTTTAATTTTTTTCCCATTCCAATAAAACCTCATTTACTTTTTCCACACAGACACTTCTTCAACTTCGCACTTTTTCCACCATTTTTCCGACGAATAAATCTCTGCATCAAATATTCACCTGACCTTGTTTATGGCATTAGTTCGTACGTATGGCTACGTAAATGTAATGGTTACAATAACCGACTTGATAATTATATAAACACATACATGAACAAAAAGCACAAGAAAGATTTTTTAAAACTATTTATACTTTTTATTTTTATTTAAAAAAATTTCAGCCAAATAGGCTTGTGCTCTAAAACTTATTAGGATAGCCCGAAACTCAGTTAACCAAGATATACTGCATACGTTAATGTTATTTACCTTAACCTTAAAATGTATTTCTGTTAATTTACTTTTGGGCTAACTTGTAGACCTACATTAAAGCGTGAAAACGAGTATGGCAGAGGTTCTATTGTATAATTATTTAAAAAATGATATATTTTAATATTTTAAAATATAAATTATATGTTAAAACCTAAGATTTATAAATAAATTATTAAATTTGCTATAGCTACTCTGCATAATAGCAGAATTTTTTGTTTAATCTGCTTTTAAATCCATTAAAGATTACATTATTAGAATACTAATTAGATTATCTCCTGTAACAATAGATTGAAATAATTTTTATAATAATTGCAATAAAATGAACAATAAAAACATGGTATTTTACATCATATATTCCCAATAAATGTGAATTATAAAATGCTATCTACCCTCGGATATACAAATATAATTGCTGTTATCATTTCAATTTTACTCGTTATATCGACGGGATTATTTAAATTAAAGCAATTAAGTAAGTAAATAATTGATAAAAATTAGAAATTATTAAGAAATTATTCTTGTACTGTATATAAATATATTTGTATTATTTGTATATATGTATATTTATAGACAATATGAAACAAGGAGCCGTAGAAAGGATTTTGACTTGGTACAGCATAAACGATAGGCGTTACTCTATCTTAAAATTATTATCGGCCTTACACATAATATCTACAGCCAATGAATATAATTATACAAAGAAAATTTTGCTGGACGTCATTCGGAATGCATCGGCAAAAATAGCAATTAATTACGTCGAGAATTGGTGGATTAAGCATTGCGCCAGATTAATGGTGATGAAAATATTAAAAGAACGTTGGATATTGTGGGTTAAATCTTTGCTTATACAAAGATGGTTTAGAGATGTCAAAAACAAAAACGTTTTCCTAAGAACGATTGTTTCCGTCATTCTGATCATTCAGCTTTGGTACAGGATGGAAAAATTGAAACGAGTTCGTCATTTGACAGTTTTGCAGAAGAGATTCAAAGCGGTGTTGATACGTATATCGTACATGAAGCTTCGTAGGAAAACAATTTATTTGCAAGCATCCATGCGCAAGTATCTGAATAAGAAATATCTCGATATGAAATTGTGGATTTTTAATAATGTAAGTTGAGACCTGCCAGTGGCCGAGTGAATAAAACCACCGATCGTGGATCCTCGCCTGGTCAACACATTGGCGTGAGCAGTTTTTTGAGTTTTCTTCACGTGTCTAGTGCTTAAATAGAGGCCAGTCCCATAAAGTTCTGGGAAGCACCTAGATAGTCCGTCAAACTAATCCTTTTTTCAGAAAGGGTCCCTCATTGATTGATAGAAAAGATAGAATAGAGTTAATGGGATAAGCAATACAACTTATGGGCGATCTGCCAAAGAGGGAGGTGCCTCCCGCGAGGACTTTCTATAGGAAATCGGCCTCATTTAGTATTAGACATGTGAAGAAAATCCGAAAAAAAATCCATGTAGCTAACCCGTTGGTGAGGCGAGTATTAATTTTAAATGAATATTACTTTTCTAATAGAAAATTTTAATTCTTTCCTCTATGCGAAATGTTTTCTCATATCCTATCACGGATTTGGAGCATGTCTGTAATGAGAGTGTCTCGATTATCCGGTTATTAATAATCTTACTAATGTAACACTAAAGATTTCAAAGCCACAAAGCACACAAATTTTTAGCGATTCACATAAAATATATAATTTTTAAATTATTAGTTCAATAGTGAAGTTTGGTTATCGATTAAAGAAGCCCGTTCGGCCAAAGCAGTATCATTTATCAACCAATGCTCCGAAGTAAGAACGTTGAGATCAAGTTCAATGTTGAGTGTGAATGTACCGTTCGACAGATTCAACATAACTGATTTGATCAAACGGAGAACAAAGTATTATAATTTGGTACTAAAAGCTTGTAATCAAATTAATCTTCTTACATTCTCACAAGTCATTCCAGAAAAGTAACTATTCTTCATAATGCTGAGATCTTTTATTATTCTAGAATTTCCTAAGTTTAGTGTCTTTAACAGCTGCAAGGACGAATGTTGGAAAAAATTAGGCGAAGGATCTTATGGAAACGTGTATGCCATTTTGGACGAATGGGGAATGCCATTTCAGGTTTTTAAAGTTGTCCCAGTTAGCGGTTTTAATAATTTTTATGGGAAAGAAATGGAACACTTTGAAACAGTTTATCCAGAAATAATTGCTTCTCTGTAAGTCTTACATGTTAATTAATTGATTAATTTATTTATTTCGCTGCATGGGCATACAAGAAAAAACATATTTCAATCACCAATATCAATTCCAATACATATTAATAGTTCAATGATATTCATAAGCATCTACGACGTTCGTATCAAAGTGGGGGTCAATAGGACAATTTGACCAGGAATTCACATTTACAAGTTAGACTCAAAAATATTTTTGACAAATTATTTATTCCATTAAATGTCTTGTGTATTAGATAAATTCCTAGGCTAAAGTGATTATAAGCGTCAGCCTTCCACTCTAAGATCCTCGGATTCGAATCCGGAGAGTGTATTTTTCGTGGTTGAGTTGGTCCGGGATGTATAAAACCCTGTCTTTCATCACCCGGTCACATCATTGTGAACCTGGGCATATTCACCACATCATGACTAAATTCTAAATTTGATTGTTTATCGGGTTTCGGATAGGATGGACCACATTAAAATTCATTGTCATCGGACTTAGATATATCCCCAAAGTTTCAGATTTCTATCTTAATTAGAAGTGGATGAAATCTGAGTTTGAAGATTTGAGGACGATACAAAACAAGTTAAACGAGTGTTTGAAAATATTTGTTATATCTAATCTCATTTTATTCTCTCAATTTAGAACCTTGAGTTCCTTATCGGACGATGAAATTAACAGAACATCTGGATTTACTAGAATTAATAGGTATGAACAAAAAATTATATTTTTATTTAAAAGTACTCTAATATTTTATACATAGGAATGTAAATATTGGAAAAAATAACGTTTCTTAACTATTTCTCTGTACATTTAAAAAATTTAAATACGATTAAAAATATCCAATTTGCATTGGATTGATGTAACATCAATCAATCTGCAAAACATGAACGATCTGCCAAGGAGAAAGTTCTTGCCGGGAGGATTTTCTGTGGGAGAATGGCCCTGTTCAGATGTCAGACACGAGAAGAAAACTTGGAAAACTCCACGTGGCCAGCCCATAACTCAGGCGCGAACCCGCGACCAGTGTTCAGGGTTTTATCAACCTGGCCGCTAGTCGACTGCTTCCCAGGAGGACTTTCTGTTTGAAACTGGCTCCTATACAATCGAATGAAAAGTCAAAAGTGGATCAGTTCTAGAATATATTATACAGTGGGATTGTAGTTATATAATATAATTAGATCGGTAGTTATACAGTGCGATCATTAAGTCGCTCCGCAGTAGGCGAAAAAATAGGATTTGGCGAAAATGGCGAATTTCCATGAGCAAAGTAAAGAAGTCACAGTCTACATGGGCGTGGCCTACTGCGGAGTGACTTCACGATCGTATTGTATCCATTTATTTTAAAATTCTTATACAATTAAATAACTAATTAGAATTTGTTTAATTTAAATTAACAGAGTATCATGTGTGACTGGTCCATTTCCAAAGTATCTTTGCAGAGCTTGGGACATTTATCATTTGAAATATCGATCTAGAACCAAATACCCGGGTAAAATAATAAAATTCCTGCTGTAATCTAATTGATGTACATTTTTTTATATGTGATTCATTTCTTTCAGGTAATTTTCCATCTAATCAAATTTATATTATTTACGACATGAAGTTTGAAGGACAGCAAATATTATCGAGTGTAAGAATCGTCATTCTTGTTTATTTTGTTTTTGTGAATTTAATTCACATAAACAACTTGTCAACTTGGAAAGTCAAATTGTTTCCAAGCCTCTGATATCCCTAATACCCGATAATTAATATAAACTTATATGAGTAATTACTTATTGTGACATCTCACAATACCTTTAAACGCCGAGAATCGTTTCATCTTACGAATCGCTATATCTTTAATTTCTATACGTTGTTACATTTAGATCTTGCAGCCACAGCAAGTGTGCAGTATCATTAAACAAGTGAGTTGCTCAATCGCTGTAGCTGAATGTGCAGCAAAATTTGAACATCGGGACTTACATTTAGGAAATGTATTAATTAAAAAGACAATTTTGTCATCTATTCCTTTCCGATTAAACGGGGAAAAAATTACTATCGACAGTTACGGTATTGCAGCAACTATTATTGATTATACGTTCAGTCGCATAGGCCAAAGTAAGTACCAGTAATAATAGTAATTCAAATGATCCAAATTCAATATTTACTTATCATTATCAAATGATAAACAGGAAACAAAGCTGTATATAGAGATCTTTCTCGTCATCCTTTCAACAGAAATATAATAGAACATAAAATCTACAGGAAAATGCGCGAATATAATAAGTGAGTAATCATATTTACTTGACTGAGATAAAATTGATTAAATATGCCTATATTTAAATTACAGTGACGATTGGAGTGTATATTGGCCTTACAGTAACGTTATGTGGTTGTGGTATTTAAATGCTTGTCTCGTGAAAAAGCTGGAGAAAAGTCTATCTTTATCGCCCAATACAGCATCGGAAGACATCTTTTTGACTCAATTGAATTATTGGAAAAAATGCCTTTTGTCTCAAGATTCCGTTACTACTTTTGTGACTCGAGAATTTTTACGTTAATTCGATAATCGGTTCTCTTAATCTGACTAACTAAACTCCATTATTTCTTATACTACTACTAATAATAAATATACAAAATTTTATTATAAAATACAACTTAATTCATGTCGATTGAAGATTATTCAACATACAATAAAAATACATTTCTTAAATTTTATGAAAGTTTTAAAACTTCATAATCCCTTTTTGGAGATTTCGTGTTATTTCGTGAAATGTAATCGTGAAATGTATCATTTAAAACCATACTGAAGAATTAAATTTTTATAATAGGCTACAACGGGAGCAATTTTAGTTTAAAGGAAAAGGTAATATCTACTTTTCAAACAGTTCCAAGAGTAAAAGAGTTTGTTGGTCTTCAGTTTTTCCGTGCTAGAACACCAATTGCTGAAAATACACAGCATCCGATGGCCAGGCCTCTGAGGATTTCAAAATCTTTATTTTTTAATTGAGGAGTATCGCGCTGTTATCTCATAATTCCTTTAATTGTTATTCTAAAAAAGAAGACCGAACCAACAAATTTTAGTTTTTATGATGATGATAAACAGTTCGAATGTCTGTAACACTCATCAATTTCTATAAAAATACATGTTGATGTCATTATAAACGTTTACTATTCACATTTAATATATTACTAACTGGAAAAACCTGTTAATCAAAATATTCAAATAGAAAAGTGTTATTCTGACAGCTGTGGAGTAGTCTACTTACGGGGGTAATGCGGATGTTGGATCCTCATAGGTTTAGGAATAAAACTTAAACTAAAAAAAATTTTATAAATAAATGGTACTTTATGATACGCTTAATTTTTTCCATTTTGATTGTACTTCTTACATCATCCTCCCAGATAACCCCCAGAACAAAATTAGTTACGCTATAGTCTGATAGAGATAATAATTTATGAAGAGCAGTTCACGGATCATATTTTTGTGATTATCCACTATATCCAGAATTGTCTGAAAAGACAAATTCCATGACAATAAAAAGATTTTTGTTTAGATATAAATTATAGTAATAGTTCAAAGATATAACAATAGGAATGTCTGAAAATTCGATTAAATTTAGTTTATCTCCATCATTAGGATCGAAGCAAAAATGGTCAGTTTGATAATCAAAGAAAATAGGGCTTACAACCTTGGAGTCATAACAGATTATTCTACCGATTCGGGCGAGACTTATAGCTAAACGGATGAGTTTTCTAGCGATTTAGAAGATTCCAATGGCGAAGATGATTTTGCCATTTATAAACACGGGGGTGTACGAAAGAAACGCCATTGAAGAAATCGAAGAAAACCACCAAATAATCAATAACGAAACTTTGACAATGGAATGAATCAAGAAGAAAGAAGAGGGGAGGGAATGTGCACTCGTTCTTTCGTTTCCTAAGACTTTTCTATTCCCGAATGATCTCTTCACTGATAAGAAAAAGAACACGTGATTCCGATGACTTCGTATCAAAAACCTTCAATATTTCCTAAAATGTAATTTGCTAATTACATTTTAGGAATTGCTTAAAAAAAAGTAAAACGCGTTAAATAGATGCAGTATACGATATTCTGTATTCGTTGAGCTATTTTATTTCAATATTCGAAGCATTTTCTTAAAAGGAAGTGTCAAGTGCCACAAAGAGCGTTAGAAATCCAATATTATCGATGGAATAACTGTCAGATCTGGATAACGTTAAGAGTGACGAAGTTATATTTTTCTCGGTTCGTTTACGACAATCGATAGATCACCAAACAACTTTCACCAACTAAATACGAAACTGAAGAAAATAAGATAATTACATACTGTAATACTTTTATATTTGCCTTTGAATTTTAATTTATTCTTAAACACTGTTATATATAGATTCAAAGATCTGGAAGAGAGTTGGCTTAAACGGGGGAGAAAAAACCTTCTACAAAAAGAAAAATTTTAATTGTTTTGTAAATAATATTTGTTCTCTAAACAGGTATTATATTATAAAAGTTATTCTTATTCGTTGCGGTTCATATGGATTTTTTGGTTTTTGGTTTTTTTTTTTGGGGGTTGGTTGTTTGTTTGTTGGGGGCCGGACGACCGGTTTTTTTGGAGGCGGCCTAAACGTACGCGAGGGGAATAGAATGTCTTTCCGGGAGGACTTTTATGGGAAACTGGCCCCTATTCAGGTGTTATCGGCAAGGAGAAAACTCGGAAAAACTCCGTGCTGCCAGCTCGTTCGAGCGATGCGGAACCTACGACCGAACTCCCAGTGTTTAGGGTCTGGTGTCCGCCGCTATATTATAAAAGTTACTTCGAATGGATTTGTTAACGATTTAGACTTTTTCACTAATATTTTATTTTAGAACCCCACGGACATTTGTAAATTATTAAAACTTACGAATGTCCACGGGGTTCTAAAATAAAATGTTTAGGACAGAAACTGCGGCATTTGTTTGCTACAAACAAATAAAACCTGGCCGCGATGCTTACATCGGATCGTTTATATTGAGTTGAATTTTCCTTAGGGTGCGACTATGCAGACGCGAATTTAGAGCGAGCGATTTAGTTTTCGCAAAGGAAAACTATACACAAACGAGAAGCGAGAAATAACGCTGGCGAGAGCGAATTTCTGATTCTCGCACATATCTGACAGGTTTTGATATTTATCGTGTCTCGCCTCTTCTCGCCACATATTCTCGCTCGCTCGCGTCTGCATAGTCGCACCCTCAGGCGCACGTTGTACCATATAGTGTGTAGTACGGTCATAGTGGTGGACTGGCCCAGCGGAAAATCGGGAATTTCCCCCGATGAATCGTTTGTTCATTGGCCATTTATTTTCTTATACGTTATATTTCACTTGAGAAAAATAAATTAACAAAAAGCACAAGCAGTTTTACTATAATTCAAGCTGCAAGCTGCCGTGATGGCGCATTCGAACAGAGTCCGGCTCACGGCAAACGCGGTCTATTATTCGAAATTTTAAAATTATTGACCCCAATTCGGACGTGGGCTGCCGTGGAACGTATGCGAACTAACATTAGGACCGCCACAATTCGCTTGTGCCAGTAAATATAAATGGCGTATAAGTCGACCAAAATGGCTGCCACAAAGGGTATAGCGTACGTAGCAACATATGTGTGTGTTGTCTTTTTAATATCTTTTCTCTCTGTAGTCAAAACGTTTTATCCGCATTTGTGTCCGGCATTAATCCTAGTTGATTTCGTAGTTGTTTAAATCATGATGATTACACTTTGTGACATTTTAGAATATGTGGGTGATCGAAAAAGATGTCTTATGAAGAGAGGAAATGCTAAAACATAACTTCATATCTATCCACCTCTTAGCAATTAATTCACTTCAGTTTCACCAACACCTAATTTTACTGAGCTTAAAATTTCTTTATTTTTACAAACGTTCTCAACCTATCTAATATAGGCCATCGTCAGGTTTAATATTATAAATGTTCCAAAATGGAACGTGCCGTTTTTGAATATTTTACATATTTAAAATTTTTTTAAAAATTTAAGTTTAAAATAAATTTCAAAAAGTGTGTACTGTATATTAAATAAATAATTAAAAAGTAAATAAACAAATAAAACATAGAAAACAGAGCTAACTAGAAAGAAACATGATTTATGGGTTTTTAAGTCCCATTCTTTTTTCTATTATATATTTTCATACTGTTGGAAGCGCATTAGCATCCCTAGCATTTAGGCAACGGTTTTTTTTATTTTACTTTTATAAATTTCCACCTTTTCCATCTCAAACGCAATGGATGGAGAGTGCACCGTTTTAATGACTAGCCTCTTCCCATTTTACAATGTTGTGTTGTTTGTCAACGTTGTATCTATGTTCTCTCATACATACCGCCAGGTTTCTTCTAGTCACACCCACATAATCTTTTTGATTTATAACTGTTGATTTTCAAATGAAATTTTATATATCCCAGCTTTCTCTTCCTTTTTTACGCTATCTTTATCGTTCCGTAGCAAACTATAGATATTGGGTGCTCTTTTATAGACCATTCTCGAATTTTTATAAGAAAAACTTG